TTGTTGTTTTATGAGCATAATAAAGATTTTAACGGGAAAATCTTGCTAAGTTGGAAAATGGCAACTGTCTCTATTTATATGATATTTCTGAATACTTATAAAAAGGTTTTATTATTGTTCATTACAAAAGCCTCCAAACCAAAAATGCCACACTATGTCATTCTAGTTGACTAATGACTTAGTACATTTTACAGTTTAAGAAATGACAAAACTTCATTATGGTGATGAACCGGGGACACACTCCTCAAAAGTTATAGCAAGTACTTTTCATTACAGTGGACATTACACAAAAATTCTGTAGCTAAGCTCTTTATTTTGGCTCTTTCAATGATGTAACCACTGCACCTCTATGACTGCACCAAGAAAATAAGCTTACTTCTTGGCACAAGATTACAATGTGTATAATACCATGCCTACCCAAGACAGTCAAATGCAAACTATGAACTAAACAGCCAAAGGCATTGCATACACACTCATAGAATTTCTAAGAATTTTTAAGGTTTAGCCAAACAGACTAGCAAGAAATGAGCGAAAGAAAAAAAAGCCTTCTGCTACAAAGTCAATAAACATATTAAATGCTAACAAGGTTTGAGAAACAGTGCTGGCAACAGGTGATACAAACCATCTCAATATCTACCACCAAAGAGCCTACAATCTATAAAGGAGACTCAAGACACACAAATATGTGTAATAGAATACAAAATGACAGGGCCAATGGAGAGCTCCAAACAGATCGCTCCACGAAATTTTGAGAAAGGAGAGAACACATATAGCTGGGGAAAATCAGAGTGGGCTTCAAAGAAGTGGCCTCTAACTGAGCTTTGAAGGAAAAGAGGAACTTCAATAGGCATCAACAAGGACAGAATGCATCCTAGGCATAAAGTATGTGGCCTGTGCAAATGTCAAGATGCAAGAAACTGCAGGTTGAGGCTGGGGAACAGCTCTTAATCCAACTGGGCTAGAATAAAGAACACATGAGGAAATAAATGAAACTGAAATAAACTAGAGCCAAACTCTAACAAAGAGCTAATCTTGAACTTAAACTTTTTTGGAAGGTCCAAAAAATACTAGACTAAGGTGTATATATTGTCTAGCAGGTCACAGGGAGACACTAAGGTCAGGATTATGAATAGTAGAGAACTGCTATAACAACTTTTTTTGCCCCTAGACCTCATAAGTAGTATATAGGTATAACACAAAAAATATTTATTAAGCACTTGCTTATGCAAAGAATCCTTAAAGTACATTTAGTCTAAGACCCTCTTGTTACAAGTGAGGAAAATGAAGTCTAGGCATGTAAGGTACAAAAGCTTAAAAGGTAAGTATCAGTCAAAACTAGAAGCCAAGTACCTAGGTTCATAGTCCACTGCTCTTTCCACAGCATTCTGCTTCCTATATGGTCTAGGTATGAGAAACGCAGCTCCACATATAGCAGTTTAGACCTAATGGGGCCCTAGAAATAGCTATAGGTAGATACACAACTGAGGGCTCAGTATACCCAAATGGGGCAATGGCCCCAACTAATGCAGTACAGTTAATCCTCTGTATTAAGGTTTGTGTGAATGTAAAATATAAGGGAAAATAGGTATACAGAAGAGGCTCAATTTAAGTATAGATAAAAAACAAGTGACACAAAAATGAGTCAAAGTAAGAAGATGCTAGAGCCAAAGTATATATTAAGAATGATAGGACAGTAGGTAGCTAAGATGTGTGAGGTGTACAATTGGAGCAGAGTGCTATCTACTTTAATACTTCAAGTATCATTATTGTATAGGCATTATCTCTACCAATTCAGACTACAACAACCTCCACATTTTAGTCAACTGTCTTAATGCTCTACTGTTGCCAAAAAAGGTAATTGTGTAGCAGCATATCCTTCAACATCAAAGGGCAAGGTACTACATAATTCTATGACTATATAACTATATTCTGAATACATATAAATATGATGGAATTAGCCTTGTTTTCAGAGAAAACAGACAAATTAAGTTTTCCCGTGTTTCTCTGAATTCCACATATGCCTCATTTCTTACAGCACAGTAATTTGTTTAGCCTTTCCTCAATCAATATACACCTATCAAGTTCTTTGCTACCACAAAACACATTACTATGAATATGCTGGTGTATATGATGTGATGATAAACTTCATCAAATTCAGCTAGGCTGACACTTAGAACATGAGCTATACCTTCCCTCTCAGTTGGACCTTCCAAAGCTTCCATCCAATTAGTATAGCAAGCATCCTACAAGGTGAGTTCAGCATCTTCCCTCCTTTCTGTTAAGGTTATAAATAGAGGAAGGGGAAATTGATCAGAGAATTATTTTATAGCTAGCAGTTATGTCTGACTTAAAAGAATCTTAGAGATGAAATGAACATGAAGGGAGGTCACCTGGTCCAACCCATTCCTGAAGAATCCACTCTACAGTATTCCTAACAAGTAGTCATCCACACTCTACTTTAAAACCTGTAGTGATGAATAGCCACTACCATCCAACAGTCTATTTTTGGACAGCTCTAAGTTTTAATAAGTTTTTCCTTACACTGAGCTAAAATCTGCCTCTCTACTCCAAATCTTGCCCTCAAGGGCACCAAACAAAACAAGGCTAATTCCTCTTCCCTAAGTGAGTACTTCAAATGCTTAAAAAAAAAAAACTCTCATGACCTACTCTTTCCCACCCATATCTTCTCTTCTCCAGACCAAACATTTTTAGTTCCTTCCATAGAAATCTCCTGACTCCATTCTAGTACTATTTGCTATTATAATGTGGTTCACAATACCTCCTAGAAGATTCCATCTTCCATCTAGAAAAATCTAAAACCCAGAGTACCAGGGCCAGAGCAAAGATGGAAGAGAAAAGGCAAGGGCTCACCTCTGTTCTCCCAAATGCCCCTCCAAATACCTTTAAAATAATGTCTCAAACAAATTCTGAAGCAGCAGAATCCACAAAAGGATGAGATGAAATGATTTTCCAGCCCAAGACAACTAAGAAGGTCAGCAGGAAAACTCTGTCACAATGGGGTTAGAGTGGAGGTCAGTTCAGTGCAGGGTCTAGCGCAAAGACCAGGCCTTAGTAAACCAGGAACAGGCCTTGGGAGCAACCAAATTGGCAGTGGCAGAGGCCATTTCGAGAGCTCTCAGAACTCAGACAGTAAAGACGTCAGACAACTAGTTAGAAGGAGATTACAGGCATCCCTTTGCTGGAGGCACAACTCTGCTGCATTGCCCACAGATCTGGGTCACAGTCCCAGGGCAAGGAAGAGTACTAGCACATCAGAGCTTACAAATGCAGGGGAACAGGGACCCTGGTCATAGTCTAGGGCAAAAAAGAGTGCTTAAGGTCACTCACAGATGAGAGTATGGGGCCAGGAAAGTAGTAAACACACCTCTCCTTACATCATACCATCTTGGAAGAACTGAAAGCTTACAGACCCCCAGAATGAGCTTTGAAAACAGCAGTACAAAAACCCTGAAGCTTGGGAAAATGTGCCCTCCATCCCATACGCAGAGCCTCACTTTAGCATATAGTTAAAAGTCAAAAAATAGTTGGAAAAATGAGATAAAAAATTCTGACTATAGAAAGTTATTATAGTAACAAGGAAGATCAAAGTACACACTCAAAAGAAGACAATAAAGTCAAAACTGCTACACCCAAAGCCTCAAAGAAAAATATGAATTGGCCCCAGACCATGGAAGAGCTCAAAAAAGATTTTAAAAATCAGAGAGGGAAAGGAAAAATTGGGAAAAGAAATGAGGGCAATGCAATAAAATCATGAAAAAAGAGTCAACTTGGTAAAGGAGGCACAAAAAATACTGAAGAAAATGATACCTTAAGAAACAGAATAGGCCAAAAATCCAACGAAGAGAAGAATGACTTGAAAAGCAGAACTGGCCAAATGAAAAGAGATATGCAAAAATTCACTGAAGAGAAAAACTCTATAAAAAGCAGAATTGGGCAAATGGAAAAACTGACACAAAAATTCACTGAAGAAAAAAATCCTTAAAAAGTAAAACTGGCCACATGGAAAAAGAGGTATAAAAGCTCACTGAAGAAAATAATTCCTTAAAAGTTAGAATTGGCCAAGCAGAAGCTAATGACTTTATGAGACATCAAGATACAATAAAACAAAATAAAAGGAATGAAAAAATAGAAGAAAATGTGAAATATCTCACTGGAAAAAACAACTGACCTAGAAAATAGATCCAGAAAAGATAACTTTAAAATTATTGGACTACCTGAAAGCCATGATCAAAAAAAGAGCCTAGGCATTATTTTTCAAGAAATTATCAAGGGAAGCTGCCCTGATGTTCTAGAACCAGAGGGTAAAACAGAAACAGAAGGAATCCACTGATCACCTCCTGAAAGAGATCTCAAAATGAAAACTCCCAGGAATATTATGGCCAAATTCCAGAGCTCCCAGGTCTAGAAGAAAACATTGTAAGCAGCCAGAATGAAGTAATTCAATCATCATAGAACCATAGGCAGGTTAACACAAGATTTAGCAGTCTACATTAAAAGATCGGAGGGTTTGAAATACGGTATTCTGGAAGGCAAAGTACCTAGGATTACAACCAAGAATTACTTACCCAACAAAAGTGAGCACAATCCTTCAGGGGAAAAAATAAATATTCAATGAAATAGAAGACTTTCAAGCATTCCTATTGAAAAAACCAGAGCTGAACAGAAATTCTGATTTTTCAAATATAAAACTCAAGAGAAGCATAAAAAGGTAAACAGGAACGATAAATCATAAGGATTTCAATAAGGTTAAATTGTTTATATTCCTACATGGGAAAATGACACTAGTAACTACTAAAAAAGATTTCTCATTACTAAGGTGGTTAGAATGAAGGGTATGAGTTGAATATGATGGGATGATTATCTGGAGGAAAAAAAACAAAAAAATAAAACAAAAAAATAAAAACCAGAGTACTAGGCCTCCACTCTCACCTCTAAAAAAAAAATCCACCTCATTAATCTGCCATTAATCACATACATACCCAATTGGTTTCCCTTCTTTATGGAACTGGGTTAGTATTCGTTCAACATCTTTATTGACTTTAAAATCCTTTCCATCGACTGCAAATGTACACCTGCCAAAACCAAAAACTTTCTATGAGCATGCTGATGGGTATTTATTTTGTAAATTTAAAAAGTCTATTTATTCCAGAAATGTCATGGCACTATCTCATAACTGTTTTTTAAATTTATTTTTATCTTTTGTTTTCACATTATCTTTCTTTCCAAATATGTCTCTCCCCTCTCCCCCACCAATCCCCCTATAACTTAAAAAAAAAAAGGGGGTGGGGTGAAGAAGTTCAGCAAAACTAATTAACATATCCAGAGTCTGACAATACATTCTAGGGGTTCTGAACATGGAGGTCTGTGAACTTGTGTTTTTTTTTGACTCATATTTTGACAACTATATTCCAATGCAATTGGTTTCCTTCATAATCTCATGTAATTTTATCCATTTAAAAATATTCTGAGAACAGGTCCATGGCCTTCACCTGACTGCCAGAGAGGTCTGTTACACAAAAAAGGTTAAAGACTCCTGATACAAGAACCCTTCCACCTCTGCAAAGGAGAGCAAGAGGTTCATTTTCTTAACTCTTCTTCAGGACCAAATTTGGTCATTATAATTAAATAGCTTTCAATTTCATTTTTTTAAATCTATTTACATTGTTGTAGTCACTGTACATATACTATTTTCTTGGTTCTATTTAATCCACTCCTTAATTTATATTACGCCTTCTCTAAATTCTACATATGCATCATTTCTAACAGCACAGTAATTTATTTAGCCCCTTCCCAATCAATGTGCATCTACTTCATTTCAAATTCTTTGCTACCACAAAATGTGTTGCCATGACTATATTGGCATTTATGGAACCTTTCTTTCTCTCTCTGACCTCCTTGAAATAGATGTGTATAACAGTAGGAACTCTTGGTCAAAGGGTATAGACACTATAGTCACTTGTCAAAAATAATTTCAAATTCTTTCCAGAACAGCTGTGTTATCAATGTGCCTGTCTTTAACAGTCCCTCCAACATTGACCATTACCATCTTATGTCATCTTAGTCAATATACTGAGTGTGAGGCAAACCTTAGAGTTGTATTAATTTACATTTCTCTTTCATTTGGTTGTTAAAGGTCTGCAATTTTTTTGAGAACTCTCTAGTCATATCATCTGACCACCTGTTCATGAAGGAATGAGTCCTGGACTTATATATTCCTGCTAATTGCCTATCTTGGATATGAGACCCTTATCAAAAATATCTGAGGCAAAAATTTTTTAGCAATCATTAATTTCTAATCATCACTTACTTATCCTAGTTGCACTGATCTTATTAAAGCAAAAGCTTTTCATTTTAATGTAATTAAAATTACTTATTTTGTCATCTTTCCTCAGTTAAATGAAATGTACCTAACCTGATTCTCTTCTAATTTTTTATTTGTGGTATGACTTTTAATATTCAAGCTGAATACTCATTTTGAGCTTACTGTGGTATATGGTAGTACACTGGAAAGAGCCTCAACTCCTGAGTCAGAGGACCTGTATTCAAATCCTGCCTCCAATACATACTACCTGTATGACTTTCAGTAAGTCACTTTACCTCCCTAGGCCTCAGTTTCTGCGTCTATAAAATAAGAGACTGAACTAGATGGCCTGTAAGGTTCCTTCACACCCTAGATCTATGATGTGTGTCATTCTAAACCTAATTCCTGCCAAACTCTTTTCAGTTTCCCCTACTAGTATCACCAATTTTTAAGAAATTCAAAGATGTATTTTAAAAGCAAGAAATATAATTTTAGGATGCCAAAGCTCTATTAGAATATAAGTTCCTCTATGCCCAAAGGGCTATAAAACTGTGCACACTCTTTGATCTAGCAGTACCACTGCTAGACCTATATCCCAAAGATATAAAAAAGAAGGGGAGAGGGGAGGACCTATTTAACAAAGTATAGCAGCTCTTTTTGTCGTGGCTAAGAACTGGAAATAAAAGAGATGCCCATCAATTAGGGAATGGACTAAACAAGTTGTAGTATATGACTGTGATGGAAAATTATTGTGCTATAAGAACTGACAAGCAGGATGATTTCAGAAAAACTCAGAAAGATTTACATGAACAGATGCAAAGTGAAGTGAACAAAACCAGGAGAATGTTGTACACAGTTAACAGCAATATTATGCGATGAAGAACTGTGAATGACTTAGCTTTCTCAGTTATACAATGATCCAAGACAATGCTATGATGAAGCACACTATCCACCTCCAGAGAGAAAACTGAATTGTTTGAATACAGATTGAAGCATGCTATTTTTCACTTTCTTTCATTCTTTTTCTTTTATTGGAGTCTTCTTATACAAAATGACTAACATGGAAATGTTTTACACGATTGCACATGTATAACCTATATCTGATTGTGTGCCACCTTTGGGAAAGGGAGAGAGGGAGGGATAGAATTTGAAACTCAAAACTTTAAAAAAAATTGTTTAAAAACTGTTTTAACATGCAATTGAGGAAAAAATAAAATATATTTTTAAAAAAGAATATAAGTTCCTAAAATTGAAAAGAAGATGAAAGAAGTGAAGCTCCATAAAGGCAGGGACTTTCTTACTTTTTTCTTTTTTTTTTTTTTTTTGAGAGGCAATTGGGGTTAAGTGACTTGCCCAGGGTCACACAGCTAGTAAGTGTCAAGTGTCTGAGGCCACATTCGATCTCAGGTCCTCCTGACTCCAGGGTGTATGGTTAGAGGACTTGCCCAGCGTCACACAGCTAGCAAATATCTGAGGCTGCATTTGAACTCAGGTCCTCCTTACTTCAAGGCCAGTGTTCTATCCACTGAGCCACCTAGCTGACCCTATGACTTTCTCTATATATGTATCCATAGCACTTAGCAAAGTATCTAGCTTACAAAAAGCATTTAACAAATGCTTTTTGTTCATTCATTCATTTTATTTATCTGATTGACTCTAACATACTGTCCACAAAAGCTAACCCATCTCTGCTCTTCAAGCTCCCCAAATAATCTTCCACCTACCTCCCTTAGCAAATTTCCTTACTTTCTATTTAACTGGGAAAAACTAAGGCCATGCTGTCATGAGTTTCCTCATCTCCACAACCCCACCACTTTCTATCTTCACCCATCCTCTCCCTCATTTACCTCACTGTGTCTAAGCTCTCTACCCCTTTACACCTCTCTTGTATCATATTTACTTGGGTGCATATGGTCTACCTCCTATGGAATATAAACCCGAAACGGCGAGGGCCATTTTATTTTTGTCATTGTTATCCCCAGTCCCCTGAAAATCAGCAAAATACTCACAGGTTTTTGGCAACTCCAAATCCCCCAGGAAAGATAACAGCATCATAGTCCTTTGAACTAAGTTTTGACAAGTCAGTAATCTTGCCTCGAGCAATCCTTGCTGCTTCTACCAAAACATTCCTTGGAAAAAAAAAATCACACATAAAAAGAGGTCTGGAAAGTGGCATAGTATAGGCAAATAATATGATCTATATATTATATTTTCTTTTTAAAAAATGACAAAAGAATATCATTTTTAAGCTAGTTTTGCCTAGAAATGCTAGCCTAGGAGGAAGAGAGCACTGATAAAGTTTAAATGACTTATATCTTACTCTTAAAAAAATATAGCAGTCATCAGCATCTGAGGAATTTTTATAAAAGCAAAATTAGCCAATAGTTTAAGTTAAAACTTCCATCTAACCAATTCCTTATCCCATCTAAAAACTGTTACAATCCAGAGCTGCCTCCACTGAAGTCTTCCTCCTAAGCTTCTCTGTGGTAGAGGTGACCCTGGATTCCCAAAGGCTAAAACCAAGCTGGCTTCAAGTAAAAACTAAGGATGGTTATCAGAGGACCGGTTTAATTAAGCACAGACAAGGTGATCACCAGTCAGTCAACATGCATTTATAAAGCACTTGCTATGGGCTAGACACTAAAGTATTAGGGATATAAATAAAAACAAAAAATGCAAAAATAACTCTTGCCCTAAACAGGGGCTTACAGGTACATACAAGATATCTGTAAGGCAGATGAATAGTAACCTGAACTCCAGCAGGTTCTTGAAGAAGGCAGTGTTTAAGCTTAGTCTTAAAGGACATCAGGGATTCCGAGAGAGGAGGTAAGGAGGGAGGACATTCCAGTAATTGAGAAGAGACAGTAAAAATGCACAAAGATGAGTGCTATGTGTGAGTACAGACAGCAAATAGAGCAATATACATATGTACGTGGAGGGGGGCAACACGCAGACTGAAACAGCAGGAAGGAGCCAGGTTGCAAAGTGCTCAGAATGCCAAAGAATTTAAATCTATTTGATCCTAGAGGTAAAAGGGATACACTCAAGTTTACTGAGTAGCCGAGTTCTATCAACACTTCAGGAAAATCACTTTGGCAGCTGCGTGAAGGATGGACTGGACTGAGGAAAGACAAGGTAGGAAGACCAACCAGAAAGCTATTGTAATAGTACAAAGTGATGAGGGTCTGCACCAGAGAGGCAGCTGTGAGAGTGGAAAGGGATGTACATGAAAGATGCTGTGAAGGTAGAAATGATAAACAGGCAACAGACTAGATATGTGGTGAGAGTAAGATTAAGAAGTCAAGGGTGACAACAAGGTTACAAACCTACATAACTGAAAGGACAGTGGTTTCCTCAATAGTTACAGGGAAGTTTAGAAGAGGGGTGGTTTAAGGGAAACAAAATAAGTTCAGTTTTGAAAATTCTGAGCTTGAGATGCACTTGGGGCATATAGTTCAAAATGTACAATAGATAACTGTCAGTCAATATGCATTTATTAAGCACCTACTACATATCAAACAACAAATATATATTAAACATCTACTATGTGCCAGACATTGTGCTAAATGCCAGTGATAGAAAAAGACAGTCCCTGCCCTCCAAGAGTTTACAATCTAATGGTAAAGAAACATGCAAACAAATGTATACAAAGCAAACTAGATTCAGGACAAAAAGGAAAAAAATAACAGAAAGAAGACACTAGAATTAAGAGGAACTGGGAAAAGTAGGATTTTAGATGGGACCTAAAGCCAGAGAGGTCAATAGTTAGAGCAGAGGAGGGAAAGCGTTCCAAGTACAGGGGATGGAGCATATGCCTGGAACCCAGAAATAAAGTGTCCTGTTTGTGGGACAGCCAGGAGGGGTCACTGGACTGCAGAGCACATGTTGGGGAATAGGTATAAGAAGATGAGTAAGGTAGATAGGGGCTGAGTTATTAAGGGCTTTGATTGCCAAACAGAGCCAATGCAGTTTATTGGGGGAGGGGGGCGGGAGAAGTAAGAGGTGGTGTTGACACAATTGGACCTGAGCTTTAGGAAAATCACTTTAGTGGCTTAATGGAGGATGGACTGCAGTGGGGAGAGACTTAAGGCAGACAGGCCTTCCCTCCTCCCCACCCACCCAAGCAGGCTATAGCAACTGTCCAAAAGTGAGGTGATAAGGGCCTGCACTAGAGTAGTTCAATGTCAGAAGTGAGAAGGGATATAAGGCACTGTAGAGATCAGAAGAGAGACTAGGGCTGGATATACTGATCCAGGAATCATCTGCATAGAAATACCATCAAGTGAGAGAATATAGAGGAAAAACAGAAGAGGGCCAAGGACAAAGCTTTGGGAGATACCCACAGTTAGGCAGAGGATATAAAAAAGATACAAATACATAAAAGGAAATTGAGACACATTAGTCAAACAGGTAGGAGAAGAAGCAAAAGAAAATAATGTCAGAAAAACTCAGAGAAGAAAAAAATATATAGGAAGAGAAGGTAATCATCAGGGTCAAAGTCAGCAGAGAGGTCAAAAAAGACAAGGATTGAGTGAGAGAATATGACGGTCAGGTACTTTTGCTGGAGAAGATAGGAGAGGATGGAATCAAGAGTGAGAGACTGGCCCAATCAAGAAAGGCCATCTCTTTGTCAGAGACCATAGTGAAGGAGGAAAGAATGGGGAAAGATGTCTGAGTGATAACAGGAGGAGAAAAGAGGAAGCTCTCATCAAATGACCTTATGTTTTTTAGGTGAAGTATAAAGTCCTCAGCTGAGACAAGATGTTCATGAAGACTGAAAAGACAGGCAATTGTCAATGTGGTGAGGAGGATAGCAAATTGATTAGGGAGGTATAAAGGGACTGACTTGTTACAGTGAGGGCCCAACTGAGATTATATAACATTTTTTAGTGGGCCCAATCATCAGTCTTGTGACTTTTCTCCAGCTCTGTTCAGCAGCACATGAATATTGATTGTTGATAGTGAGAGTAACCAAGGGTTGGGGTTACAGCAAGGAGACATGGGATTCAAGAGCAGAAATTGGCATAAAGTTGAAATGGTCCACAACAAGGTCAAGACTAGAAAGGGAAGAGAGTACACTAGTGCAGGGATGATAGCCTGGGAAAGAACAAAGAGGCAAAGAGATCAGAAGTCCTGGCAAGGATGAAGAACAGTCAGCAGTCATAAAATTAAGGGAAAGGTGGAATGACAAAAGGCTATGACCATATACAGGAATAGAACCTTATTGTTATTTTATGTACAGTCAGCAGTCATAAGACACAGGGAAAGATAGAATGATAAAAAGATTATGATCATACAAAAAAATTCAGAATTTGTGAATGTGGAAGTAAAACATTTGTAGTAATAGTAAAATTAAAGACATGACCATCTCTTTGAGGTAGCAGAAGTGGAGTAAAGAAAAAGGTCACGGTCACACACAGGCAGACACAGACACAGACACACAGACACAAAGACACACACATACATGGAATTCCCCTATTATCAGGGTAGGAGTTGAGGTGAAGAAAAAGAATGCAAGGCATCGAACTTACTGAGAAAAGGGAAAATAACTTGGAGATAAGTAGGTAACAGCTGCTAGGATTTGGACTGGGTGTTAAATTTGGATAATGTAAAACTCAAAGAAGGTGAAGCTGCTCATCAGGAGTCAGAGGTTCAAAATCACTAGGATGGAGAGAATATAAGGTTCACTAAGGAAAACAGGTGATTAGACAGTTCAAGATTTCTCTTACAGGCCAAGAAGGGAATAACAGGAAGTAGTATACACTGGAGAGACGGGAAGCCAGTCAGGAGGCAGGGGATAGCAATGAAAGCAAGATGTCTGAGAGGCTACTGCGAGGCAGGACTAGGGCTAGACATGGAGATGGATCAGGGATCTGCTGGAAGCCAGGCTGAGTCTGTGTCTTTAAGGCCTACGCTTCTTGCCTTGAAACAGCCTTTCATCACTCGGGAGAGATTCTAATCTGTATCCCTGGAGGTCCCACCTCACTGAAACACAAAATCCCTCTGAATACTTAAGTCCATAGGCAGGCAATGTCGTGCAGTAGAAAGGGTGCTGAACTTGGCCATCACAGGAGCTGAATTCAAATCTCGATCAATACTTACTACCCATGAGACCCTTGGAAAGTCTCTCAACCTCTCCGAGTCTCAGTTGCTTCCTCTATAAAATTGAAAGATTAGGCCAAATGACCACTAAGACGCCTTCCAGCTCTAGGACTGTGATCCTATAACTAATTTACAAAATAGCCACAAGGTCACATAGTTTTGATTATTAATACCTTCCTTAACGTCTCAGTCCACTGAATCATAAACATAAACTAAAACCCCTAGAAATTCTCTGATAATTAGCTAATCTGATGTCTGGGAACATGGTATTCCATGTTGACTGCACTGCAACTCTGGTCAAAGCATCTCTAGCAAATTCCATCAGAAATCCACACCAAGACCTGGAGACCAGAAAATCTCAGAGATTAAAAGCAGCAGGAATTAGGAAGACTGGGGTTCTTAAAATAGAAAATATTAGGAAGCTGAAGTAAAACCTTAAGAATGGAGCAGAAGATTCTGCAGACAACCCAGAGCTAGGGCCTCCAGCCCTTTGTTGGCTGGGGATCTGGCTGCAGCATTGTTCACCTTCCCAACAGTCACACAGGAAGAATAGGAGAGAGTGACTAGGGTCTCACATCTCTGGCCCTGACCCAGCAACACTATCTCTCTGAGACTGAGAGTCTCATTAGTCATCTGCTAACCACAACCACCCTTAAAACTAACAATCCCTTACCATGGGGAGTCTTTCTTTTTTCCAAAAAGTTCAACACCAAGCTCATAATCCTCCTTTCCTCTCCAACTTCTGCCCTTATAATAAGGAACTTCTTTCCCCAAGGGTATTATTCCTTTCAACTTCCCAACCTCCCAATTCCTCAATCTCCTTAAATCCCAAGGCCTACTCCTTCACTCCGCTTCAGCCATACACAGGGATGGCCAAACATCGCATCTCACCATGATACGCAATGCTTCCCTACTTTAATCAAAAACTCTGACATTCCTCTACATGATCAGAACCTTCACTCTCCCTATCCCTCAACCCTCCAAAACCTGAGCTTGGAAAACTCCTCCAACTCTTTGACTTCACTTTCCTCCCTCCCTCTCAAACTTTGCCCTATAATTAGCCAATTCAACTTCAGACTGTCATCTACTCATGAATTCACTCATCTTTTGCCAAATCTTAGCCCTAAATTACTATCTGCTTCTTCTACTTCCACTTGTGTGCTTCTGAATGGTGCGGAAGAAGTCTTTCAACTGTGCTGACTGGTGATAAATTCACATTATAGAAATTAAACTGAGCCCTCACTGCAGCAAGGCAATGCCTGGCTTTTATTTCAAATTACCTATTTTACTGCCCATAAAAACTATGCCAAACCTTCTCTTTCAAACCTCCCACAGTTCCTGTCCCCCTTCCACTCAGTAAGGGCCCTGCCTCTTATTTTACTGAGAAAACTAAAGCCATTCACCATGAGTTCCTTCTTCTCTCCTCACCTCAAAACTCCTTGAAATCATTCCCCACACTCTTATCCTTTCCCTAGTCTCTGACAATTAATGAAGTGGCCCTTTTCCTTGCCCAGACTGACTCCTCTAAATGTGTTCTTGATCCCATCCCTTCTTGTCTTTTCCAGAAGATTACCTGCACATTCAAGTATCACGTTCTTTCATATTTTCTCTCTCCCTCTTCTCCCTTTCCCCAGAGATAAATGACCTCTCTCATTTCCAATCTCTAATGCCACTCAACTTAGGCCTTTCCTAGGCAGCTAGCGGCACAGTGGATAGAGTGATGTAACTGAAGTCAGGAAGAATAAAGTTCAAATCCAGCCTCAGATACTTACTAGCTGTGTGACTGTTTGCCTTAGTTTACTCAATTGTAAAACAGGGATGATGACAGCACCTACCTCACATGGTTGTTGTGAGAATAAAATGAGATTTGTAAAGCACTTGCACAGCCCCTGGCACACAGTAGGTGATGTATAAATGCTTATTCCCTTCTCCCCCCTTTGCACTTATGTTTTGCTTTATAATTTTCTTCTCTATCTATATATATCCATACTATAAGCTCCTTGCAGGCAAGGCCTGTGTTTCATCTTTTTATCTAAATCAGCACCTAACACAGAGCGTTGACAGATGCAATTGAAACTAATTTAGTCATAACGTACAGTTGAATATATTATCCAAAGTAGAACTCGCTAAACCTTGCTGACTAACTATCCACATCCATGAAAATCAAAAAACCTCTCCTTGTTCAGTTACTCAGTTGGGTTCAACTCTTCATGACCCTGTGGCCCATACTGTCCATGGGCTTTCTTGGTAAAGACAGTAGAGTGGCTTGCCATATCTGCTTCTCCAGCGAATTAAGGCAAACAGGTTGAGTGACTTGCCCAGGGTCACAAATCTATTAAGTGTCTAAGACTAGATTTGAACTCAAGTCTTACTTACCGTTTTTCATTCTGTGTTGGTTGTCCTGTGATATGATCAACAACATGCATTTGAGGAACATCAGGTGCATACATCTTAAATTCAGCACCTCCACGACTCAAGTGAACTAATATCCTGTGAGACAGAAGCTCAAATAAGGCTAAAAGCCTTAAAAAACAATTCCTAATGTTTAAATCTATGTTTAAATAGTATAGTGAAAAGAGCACTGAACTTAAAGTCAGAAAGACCTGAGTGCAAATCAGCTCTGTGACCATGAACAAGTCACTTAACTTTCATTCATTTCATTCCCCCCATCTCTCGACCTTGCCACTATACTCAGCTGTCATCTAACCCTTGAACATCCTTCTACCATGGCAGCCCATTTTTTCCATTGGTGAATTCCTCCCAGGGCCTCCATGGGGGAAAATGGGGTTGCTAGGCTATCAATCTTCATTTTCCTCCTGGCCCTGCTTCTGGCTTTCCAGAATCAGACACCATGATCCTAACTCAGAGACTGTCCCTTTATCCTTCAGGTCACTACTAGACTAGCACAGCTTCTCTCCAAATAGATAAAAACAGAATGTTGTTTCTGAACTTGAAGTGTAGTAATAATAATAACAGCTGACAATTATGTAGGGATTTAGAGTCTGCAAAGTACTATATGCTATTCGTATATGTTCTCATATACATATAACCTCTTATCTGAGTTTCATAACATACCTGTAAAGTAGGCATTATTATTACCATCCACAAGTAAGGATATTAAAATTTACAAAAGTGACTTGCCCATGGCCATAGTTACTAAATGTTAGAGGCAGGATTTGAACCAGTGTTTCTTAACCTAGGTCCAGCCTTCTTATCACTCCACCACAGGCCCTATTGTAGTAAAGAAATTTTATACAGAAAGGGGCTTACGCTGAGGCCTCATGAACTTCTGTGCCATCATAGACACCACATCCAGAGAAAATCTGGGAAGAGAAAAGAAAGGCATTCATTCTATAAAATTTTTGAGTATCTACTATGGCCGAGACAGTGGAAGTGAAAGTGACAAGAAAGTGCTTTGGTTTGGGTCTTGTGGGAATGAAAGGTTATGAAAATCACCTTTAACACTTAGAGAGGGAATGAGAGATAGGCAAGCAGGCTGGTGCAGTGTAAAGAGCACTAGACTTAGAACTGAGAAAACCCCTCAATTACTGAAATAGTTCTGGCACTAGTTTGGTGATTCCCTCAGACTCTCTTTCCCCATCAGCAAAATAGTAACACTTAACCTTACAAAGCCCAGAGGCAAGCACTCAACAAAATCCATCCTTGCATTTTAAGTTGAGCAGTTGCCAAGCTGCAAATATGTGGAGTTATTTTTTTCCTTCTCAGCTATATCACTGTCCTTCCTGTAACATGGATTCTCCTTGAGGTGAAATAGGGATTTTACAGTCAGAAAATTAACAATTCTTTTCTGCTGTTTTTGTTTTGTTGTTGTTCTTTTCTTTGTATGCCCAGCACTTAGCACAGTGAGACTTGTTGACTTGACTTGTTTGCCCAAACTCTAAGCTTTTTTTTTTCCCCCAGGCTGTTGCTACTAAAAGGAATATCTGGAGAGAATGACTAACAAAATTAATACTTCCCAGAGTAGTAAAAAAGTTCTCAATTTCACTCATTTCTGCACTTTGCCACATCTGAACGGCCTTTTTCCTTTGCCCACATCTGACCATATCTGACAGTCCTTTATCTTCATAAACCAGTTACTGCCATTTTCACCTTTGCAAACCTGTGACTGCCCTTTACCTTTGCACCTAGGTGGACAGAGTGCCTGGAGCCAGGCAGACTCGGCTTCCGAGTTCAAATCCAACCTCAGACACTTACTAGCTGTGTGACCCTGGACAAATCACTTAACTCCGTTTGTCTCAGTTTCCTCATCTATAAAGTGAGCTACAGAAGGAAATGGCAAAGCACTTCGGTATCTTTGCCAAGAAAATCCCAAATGGGGTCACGAGGAGTCAGACACAACTCAATGACGGTCCTTTACCTTTGCAAACTGGTGATTCTCTAAGTGCGATGGGAAGGGAGGCACACACAAAAAAGGGAACTAAGGGGACGCGGGGGATGACAGCCACAAGGGCTCCAGAAATCGTGGGCTAACCCTAAGCCTCACGCGTGGGAAGGATCGGAGGCCCAAGGTCAGAGGACAGCTGGGGCCAAAGGCGAAATGTGACCCCACGCCCCTCCACCACGCTGTCCCGGTGCGACCCCAGCGCCCACTCGGGGCTCGTAGGCAGCGGGCCAGCTTCCCCTGTGCGGGGGCAGCCCGTACCCCGGGGGCCCGCAGGTCCCGGCGCCGCCTTACTCACGACAGCTACTTTGGGCCCGGGACACCGCGCGGAGCCGTGAAAGGCTGCGAGGGGAAGGAGCTGCTGCCCGCCGGGCCTCAGCCAGGGCAGGCAGCAGGTGAGGACCGGCCTGGAAGCCGCCGCGGACCTCACAGAAAACATCGCAGTGGCTGCTGTGGCCGGAGGGACAGAAGACCAGTAGGCGGAAGTGGTGGCGGTGCCAAGTGTTGAAAGGCAGAGTGCCACGTGACCTTTACTTCCGCCGCCCCGCCCCACCCCCGGGCGGATTAGTCATGTGAGCAAAGCGAGCCCCAGTCCAGAGCCGCTCACGCGCTAGGCTGACTCAGAGGCCCAGAAGGCACTTCCTTTCCGGTAGGGGGAGGGGCTAACACTTTTGAGTAGCGGGAGGGTGAGAGGGAGGGAGGAGAGAAAAATTGTCTGGTGCCCTCTAGGGGCTGGAAGAACCGTAGCAAAGAAAATATTGCAATCCCCAACATCCTTACAAGCCAACCTACAAAATTCCTTGTTAATTGCCTAAAACAACTCCCACACCCATTTGTTTTCTTTTTAACATTGAAAACATTTGCAGATTGCTTCCACTCCCAGTGAAGTCTCTTATAACAAAATAAAAAAAGTAAAATTAACACTAAACCTAACTGTGGGGTTTAAAACTTGAATGAGGTGATGGTGGAAACTTCAAAATTTGGAGGAGCAGTTATAGGAGCAAAAATTACTGTTCCATTCTTTGGATAGGCTGACCCTAAAGTACTTTGGGCAGAGTTCCAAACTGCTCTCCAGAATGGTTGGATCAGTTCACAACTCCAACAACAATGCATTAGTGTTCCAATTTTCCCACATCTTCAACATTTATCATTTTCCTGTTTTATCATGTTAGTCAATCTGATAGGTGTGATGTGGTACCTCACAGTTGCTTTGCCAATTCTACTTTTTATTAAGCCGTTTTCTTTTTCCAAGCTGTTGACTCTTTTTTTCACAATTCTCTTACATCACTCTCATTTCTTTTCCCAATTTTTCTTCTACCTCTCATATGACTTTTAAGCCCCTTTTTGAGCTCTTCCCTGTCACCATAACTTTCTATGATCAGATTCTTTTTAGTTGTTTTTTGTTCATCTCTTTTGGCCTTTTTCTTTTCTTTTAAATTTAAACTCTGCTCCCAAGGTGGAAGGGGCATTGTTTCAGGCTTCTTGTTTCAGGGGCTGCAGGCCCTAGCTGCTTACCTGGTACTGCACTGATGTTGCCCTGAGGTCCACGGGGTCCCTTCTATCGGGTGCTATGCTGAGAGGTGGCTGGTACTGCTAGAGGCTGTGGGGGAAGGGGGGGTGTATAGCAGCTTACCTGGTGTTGAGCCAGGGTCCTAGTGGTAGTCTGGGATGTGCTGAGGCCAGTGGGGCTATGCTATGCTGAAGCAGTTGCAGTTCTTGGAGCTGGCATCCACCCATTCCTCTGGCTATTCTAGGCACATAGGGGGTGCTGGTGTTCTGGTGTTATGGTATTTGCCTGCTCTACTGCACTGGGGTTCAGAACCACCTGGTTTGCTGAGGTGAGGCTTGCTGGGATACCTCCTGTCCTCTACAGAGCTCCCCTTTTACCCAAGTGAGACAAACCTTTCTTGCCAATCTTACAAGTTTCTTGGGTTGTTTCCCTCTGTCTTTTTCCTGGTTCTGGTGCTCCAGGATTTGTTTTGGGGGGCTATTTTATGGTTTTTTGGAAGAGAAAATGGGAGGCAGCGATTTACTGCTTACTTCACCATCTTGGCTCCCGGAAATTTAACTGGAACTCAACATTCAAAAATATGAATGTTAATTTTTTTTCAAATGCATTGGGAAATATTTAACAAAACAAAACTAAAAATCTTAAAAATGATCTAGTGAGCTTGTATAAATTTATAAATCTCTCAAAATGAAGTAAAAACAGGAAAAAACAATATAGACCTCTCTCTGTAACTGTTACAATCCAGATGGCAGTACTGAGGAAGACCCACCACCACTGAGGGTGTCCTGCTCCTTCTTTCTTCCTTACTGCTCCCTTTCCCAGGGACAGCCAGGCTGAGGGGAGACTCACCACCACCCTCCAAACCTCTTCCCATTGTCTAAGGCAGAACTTCTTAAACTTTTTCCACTCTCAATGATCCCTTTTCACATTTTTTTAAATTATTTTTTACACAACTGGGGTTAAGTGACTTGCCCAGGGTCACACTGCTAGTAAGTGTCAAGTGCTTCAGTGAGGGTGCCCTATCCACTGTACCACCTAGCTGCCCCTCCCTTTTCACATTTCTGCAAGTCAGTTGGAGTTGTGTGGCCTGAGGGCATGTGCAAAGTAAAGTGCACAAGCTTTGTGTTCAGAACCAAGGCTGCAGTCAAGTTGCATGGGCAAGTACTGCCAAAAACACCTCAGATTCTTTACACATTTGATTTTTAATTAATTTTTGGTTGTTGTGCATTCAGAAACCTTTTACTGTTGCCAAAATTTTCCCAACCCCATATAGGGTTGCAACCCACAGTTTAAGAAGTGCTGTTCGGGGCCACTAGGTGGCACAGCAGATAGAGCACCGACCCTGAAGTCAGGAAGACCTGAGTTCAAATCCGGCCTCAGACTAAACACTTGACACGTACTAGCTGCATGACCTCAGGCAAGTCACTTAATCCCAATTGCCTTTAAAAAAAAATGAAGGTCTAGGGAGCTTAACTACATAACAGGGTTTAAATGAGTCAACAACTCCATCCCCTCCAACAACATGAGAGGACCACCAGGCCTTACCACTGCATCCTAAGATCTTTATCTCTGGTGTTACCTCTATACCTTGCCTGACCTTACTTAATCCAAGGACTACTAGGCCATGCCATGAGTTCCATTACCGTACTCTTAGACCTTTTGGTTTTTTCCATCTGCCCTGCAGTCAAGAGTGTGCTGATAAATATTTAACAACCAGGTCTCAAAAAAAAAATGTACCCAAGGCACACTATTAAGTTTAATCTGCATTATTAACATTTTTCCATCACTTTCTTTAGCCTAGTTAACCAACAAAACAATAATCAAGCCCTAATTTGTAGCATTTGCTGATTTCTGAAATGTAAAAGCTAAGAATGACAATTTGGCAATTTGCTCTAGTAATCTAGTTCCAGATGTTACCAACACTTCCTGCTGCTGAACCTTCTTTTTATGTGTTGTCTCTCCCAATTAATGTGAACATCTGGAGAGCAAGGAGTGTCTCGCTTTTTCTGTTTGTATCCCCAGTGCTTAGCATCATTCTTGGCACATAGTAAACACTTAAATGCTTTCTCATTCATATTCAATCTTTGGTGCCATTTCTATCTCTTCTATGAGTGCCTCTGGGACTGCAATGTTAGGATCCAAGTGTGGTGGGAGTTTCACTATCTGTAATGGAGAAAAGTTTGTTCAGAATCGTTTTTGCCAGGTTTTTTTTCCCCATTTTTCTTGTTTGTAGTCATCCCCCAGTTTTCAATCCCAAGTGTCCTTGGGATGACTTTATTCAGCTGGTTATCTTGGCAAGTTTTCTTTTAACTAGTTTTACCTTCCACAACTTCTGCGTCAAGATAGTACTGCTCATAACCACCAAATATTTAATTTGTTGAATTCCATTGTTTAGAAAATCCGTTTCTTAAAATTTTCCAATTTATTATCACTATTTCTTCCCTGGAGAATACAAAGCCAATCTTCCAGGTACCAACTCCCAAAGTATCTTTGAAAACAGCTATCATGTTACTTCTAACACGTATCTAGTTCCTTCTGCCATTCTTCATGTGACATAATTTATAGACCCTTCAACATCTTAGTTTTCCTCCTTTGGATGAGTTCCATTTAATAATAGCAATTAATGTTTCCACAGCACTTTATATATATCATCTCATGTGATCCTCACAACATCATTCAGTAGGTGCTACCATTCCCATTTTACAGATAAAGAAAGTAAATCTCAGAAAGGTTAAGTGATTTGTCCAGGAGTACACAGCTACTAAATGTTGTTGTAATTTGAACCCAAGTGTTCCTAGGTTCAAGACAAGGGAAAAAAAAAAGACAGAGTAAGGCTGACTTCACACAACTCTGTCTCACTGAAATGCAATTTATGAGTGACAAGTCAAAGAAAAAAAAAGTCCCAGGTCCAACATTGTATCTACTAGACTATGATCCTTTTTATAAGGCAGCATCCAGAACTGTAAGAATACTCTACATGTGGCTGGCAGCACAGTTTACAGTGAAATGATTACCTTTCTTGAGCTACACTTCTATTCACATACAGTAAGCTTGCATTACCAGTCACACTATATTGTTGGCTGGCACTATATTCGTGGTGAAAACAAAGCTCTATAATTGTGAAGATGCTCCCAGCAGTAACATGTGATTCCTATAAACTAAAAGGACTTAACTCTAGTTTACCAGCCTACTACTTCCTTCAGGATGTTGCTAAACAGATTTTGTTTAGTTTTTAGGTTTGCAAAAACTAAAAACTAAACTGGCCACAAAAACCATTGATCAATTTTCTGAGGTCTTGTGCTTCTATTTCATCACATTTTCTATGACTTCTGTGTTTCTATTAGCCACACAAATAAGCCAAGTAACATCTGAGATAGTGATAGCTTTTTTTTCCCCTGACCTCACCCCAACAAGCCATCACAACTCTAATCCTCATTGTCTGCTGTACCCTTCGGCCTGCCACTTGAATTCTTCACCCAACACTATGCACTTATTAAGCTTTTAAATGTTTTTCAAAGCCCCAGTTTCATAATTTATTTTAACATGGATAATCTAAAAATTTCTAAGAATACATCTTGAACAATAACACTGAAGAACCAAATCCTTCTAATAAGTTTGAAGAGAAAAACACACACATGTACAAAGCAGATTTTGCAAAGGTAGAGTTCCAATATTTATTTAGAGGGCAATTGCTTTCAGGAAACTTAATGTTCACTGAATCAATTTAGGGTATTAGATCTAGAGTTGGGTGGACCAATCCAACCTCCTCATTTTACCATTGGTGGTTAAGTGACCTGCCCAGGGTCACAGAGGCAATGACAGTCAAAATTCTAATAACCCATGTCTTCTGACTCCAAATACAGTGTTGGGGTTTTTTTTTAACTACATCAATTTCCATTTTCTGATCTTCAGTTTCCAAATTAACCAATTCCTAGCTTAAAAAACCCCAAAACTTTCCAAGTTTGGCTACATATCACAAAATATTATTAGGTTTAACAATGTGAGTCCATGATAAAAGTGA